TCTTAGCTCACTGCAACCTCCGCCTCCCTGTTTCAAGCAATTCTCCTGCCTCAGCCTCCTGGGTAGCTGGGATTACAGGTGCACACCACCATGCCCAGATAATTTTTGTATTTTTAGTAGAGACAGGGTTTTGCCATGTTGGTCAGGCTGATCTTGAACTCCTGACCTCATGATCTGCTTGCCTTCCCTTCCCAGAGTGCTAGGGTTACAGGCATGAGCCACCATACCTGGCCTCCCTGGCTCTTCTTTGCTGCTCACAAATTCCAGTGGCCCAGTTTCCCGCAGGAGACCTGGAAGCAGGGAAGAATGAAGAGGGTTAATTACACAGCTGATTTCCCAAGACTGGCCAGGTCCAGTGCCCTGACTATGAGTCCCTGTGTTCCCTCTGCTAATCAACTGTGTAGTTAGCAGTTCAGGCACATGTGGTAGGCTCCCTTGGCCTCATGTCCTAGAATTTTGAGAGCTAATTTGTGGGCCCAGTCTTGACTTGTAGATGGATTGCCATGCCCTGTGCAATGGTGTGTCCAGGTGGCTATGATCCTTACCTGGGAAGCTCAGGTCAAATCAGCTCGTTGATTCCATTGATATTTATTCCCAAAGGACTTTTTTCCACAGGCACCCACATGGGGCATGAATGGAGGACATGGTCTCATGCAATTTGTTGCCATGTTTGTCCCCACAAAGCTTGAGACTTGATCATCCAGCTTTTCTGCTACAGGCACCAGACTGTAATGCCTACTCATTGGCTAATGTCATCAGTCAATGAAAATATAACAAGGTACATTTTGGAAGGCACTTTTAGAGCAAGCACCATAACTCACAACTCTGCCCAGTGAGCAAGACTTCCTTTTTCTGTGTATAGTTTTAAGCAGTTTTCTTTGAAGCTGCATAGCTGCAGTAGCCAAGTACACCTCTGTGTTTAGGACCCCAAGACCATTCCCAGTTTTGATTATCCAGTAAAAGGACTGACAATACTCTGCACATAGGCATACTCAAAACTAAGATTTATTACAATGAAACGATACAAAACAAAGTCTGCAAAGGGAAAAGGCATGTGGGCAAAGTATGGGGAATAACAGCTGCAAGATTCCAAGAGTCTTCACCAGTGGAGTTGCATAGAACAAGCTTAAGTCTCCCATCAACAATCTGTGGCCTTTTACTGTGGGCCCTCTCACTGCAGGTGCTCAGTCTAGTCCAAATAAGGCAGTTCAGTCCTTGGTTTCAGAGGCACTGCCTGAGACAGTCAGTTCCAAACAGTTTTATTTATCTATGACATCAGCTTCATGAGTATGGACAGCATCTGTAGGCATTCTGCAGGAAAGTGCAGGTGGCAGGTCACCCCCTCCCTCCTAGGCAGTGTGGTCAGGTGGAGCATAAGCTCAGCAGTCAGTGTGAATTCAAAGCATTCACAGCAGCTTGAAAAGGCAGTACATGGAGTTTTCTTTTAGGAAGAGGGAAGGCTTTGTTCTGAAAAACAAAGACCATTAACACTCTTCCCCATCCCATTTCCCCAGGTGCCTGGATTTTGTTTTTTTCCCCTCTCTGTTACAAAATCAGTCGTGTCTCCTTCAACAAGACATTTTAAAAATCATGTCCTATTCTTACCTAGACTTTTCATATGAAAGGGTTCTATGCAATAGGCACAAAAGTATTTTCACAGAAAAACATTTTTATACAGTTTAATCAGAAAGACATATTATGTTGCTTGTAGCCATTATTAGAGGTAATGAAAAAAATTAAAAATAAAAAACAAACAAAGAAAAAGACACATTATGTTCAGAATTATTCAGGAAAAAAATCTTAAATTTGTAAACATTAAAATTTATGGGTTTACATAACTTTCCATTTTTTTCATCCTGATCAATTATGCAGGTAGCAGCCTAGAAAACATCAATCTCTTTCTGGGGACAGCTGCATTTAATCATTAAATTAAGGTGCCTTACTAAGTTGTGTGTGTCAGAGGCATTTGAAACAGACCAACAGACCAACTCCATCTTGAATATGGGCTGGCAAAATAAGGCTGAGACCTACTGGGCTACATTTCCAGACGGTTAAGTTTGGGGTGGGCAGTGGAAAGTTACAGAAGTTACACCTAAGGGCTGTTTTTTGGAAGCTGGGAGGCGGTCATAGGTTTGAAAGCTGGGAAGGGGTTGTAGGGTGTAGAGTCACAAGGTTAACCAAGGTCGGTTACAAAGTCCAATGGCCTTGTCAATTGAGGCCAGAATAAGAAACAATACAAGAATGTCTTAAGTTAGTTAGGTGCTGCAGGGGTTGATAGTTTTTCTGCTTTTCATGATCTTCCAATTACTTCAGGTTTTCTTTTTGTTGCTGTTTTCTCTCAAACAATGTTCATAACTTTTTTTTTTTTTTTTGAGACGGAGTTTTGCTCTTGTTACCCAGGCTGGAGTGCAATGGCGCGATCTCGGCTCACCGTAACCTCCGCCTCCTGGGTTCAGGCAATTCTCCTGCCTCAACCTCCTGAGTAGCTGGGGTTACAGGCATGCGCCACCATGCCCAGCTAATTTTTTGTATTTTTAGTAGAGACGGGGTTTCACCATGTTGACCAGGATGGTCTCGATCTCTTGACCTCGTGATCCACCCGCCTCGGCCTCCCAAAGTGTTGGGATTACAGGCGTGAGCCACCGCGCCCGGCCACTGTTCATAACTTTTTTCTTTTTTTTTTTTTTGAGACAAAGTCTCGCTCTGCCACCAGGCGTCAGGCTGGAGTGCAGTGGCAGGATCTCGGCTCACTGCAACCTCTGCCTTCTGGGTTCAAGCAATTCTCCTGCCTCAGCCTCTTGGGTAGCTGGGACTATAGGCGCGCACCACCACACCGAGCTAACTTTTGTATTTTTAGTAGAGACGGCGTTTCACCATGTTGGCCAGGATGGTATCAATCTCTTGACCTTGTGATCTGCCTGCCTCGGCCTCCCAAAGTGCTGGGATTACAGGCATGAGCCACCACACCCGGCCAACTACTTCAGGTTTTCTAATTCCAGAAGGCCCTCCAGAGGTGTACATGTGGGCCACAGAGGTTACCATGTCGTCCACGGCTCAGTCAGGTTAGCACAAGATACAGGTTATAAAGACCTTGCTGATAAAACAGGTTGAATGAAAGAAGCTGGCTAAAACCCACCAAAACTAAGATGGCAATGAGAGTGACCTCTGGTCACCCTCACTGCTACACTCTCACCAATGCCATGACAGTTTACAAATGCCATGGCAACATTGGGAAGTTACCCTATATGGTCTACAAAGGGGAAACATAAATAATCCATCCCTTGTTTAGTATATAACCAAGAAACAACCAAAAAAATGGGCAACCAGCAGCCCTTGGGGCTGCTCTGTCTATAGCGTAGCCATTATTTTATTCCTTTACTTTCTTAATAAACTTGCTTTCACTTTACTCTATGGACTCTCTCTGAATTCCTTCTTGCTCGAGATCCAACAACCCTCTCTTGGAGTCTGAATCGGGGCCCCTTTCCTGTAATGTGTACCAAGAAAAAGGAAGTAGAGTCAAGGTATCAGTTCACTGTTGCAAATTGCATCTAATACTAAAAGCCAAACGCAAGTCAGCAGCAGTGAAATGGCCCTGAGACAGGGGCCAGAGTCTGATCTGTCAGTAGTAGGTGGAAGGGTCACACTTGCCCTAATGTGCCCTTCCACAGTGTAGGAATCATTACTTAGAAATGCAAGCAGTCTCTGTATCAGAAACAAAGAACCAATGAATAGATCAATTTCAGATGGTCCCTTAAGAAAGAAGCCCTTTTCTGTAGGCAATTATGACCCAGATGGTCCAGCCAGCATCCATGATGTTTTCACAACTTTTTCCACAGAGGGGTGTCTAAAATCTGCAACTGTCCCAGAGCCTGAGTTTTGATTTTTAAGCAGAGCAACTTTGTCAGATTTGGTTTGGCTTAGCTAGCTAACAGACAAGCCAGCCCAGAAACCTGGTCAGGTACAAACTTCCTCTGAAAACAAAACAAAACAAAACTGGAAAAGGTCTCTATCTTGTTTTAGGTCTTGGGAGCTTGACCTTGGAACCACGTGTTGATATTTTCTTTCTTTTTTTTTTTTTTGAGATGGCGTCTCACTCTGTCACCCAGGCTGGACTGCAATGGCACAATCTCAGCTCACTGTAACCTCCAACTCTTGGGTTCAAGCAATTTTCCTCAGCCTCCCGAGTAGTTGGGACTACAGGTGAATGCCACCATGCCCGGCTAATCATTTTTATTTATTTATTTGTATTTATTTATTTTAAAAGAGACGGGGTCTCGCCACGTTGCCCAGGCTGGAGTGCAATGGCTATTCACAGGCGAAATCCCACTACTGATCAGCACGGGAGTTTTGACCTGCTCCTTTTCCGACCTGGGCTGGTTCACCCCGCCTTAGGCAACCTGGTGGTCCCCTGCTCCCAGGAGATCACCATATTGATGCCAAACTTAGTGCGGACACCTGATTGGCATAGTGCACTACAGCCCAGAACTCCTGGACTCAAGAGATCCTCCACCTCAGCCTCCCGAGTAGCTGGGACTACAGGCATGTGCCACGGCGCCCAGCTATTTATTTTTGAGACAGAGTCTCACTCTGTCACCCAGGCTGGAGTGTAGTGGTGCAATCTCAGCTCACTGCAGCCTTCGCCTCTGAGATTCAAGTGATTCTCCTGCCTCAGCCTCCTGAGTAGCTGGGACTACAGGCACAGTGCACCACACCTGGCTAATTTTTTTTTTTTTGAGATGGAGTTTCACTCTTGTTGCTTAGACTGGAGTACAATGGTGCAATCTTGGCTCACTGCAATCTCCGCCTCCTGGGTTCAAGCAACTTTCCTGTCTCAGCCTCCTGAGTAGCTCGGATTACAGGTGACCGCCACTATGCCTGGCTAAATTTTGGTATTTTTAGTAGACACTGGGTTTCGGCATGTTGGCCAGGCTGGTCTCGAACTCCTGACCTCAGGTGATCTGCCCGCCTTGGCCTCCCAACGTGTTGGGATTACAGGCGTGAGCCACTGCAGCTGGTCTAATTTTTGTATTTTTAGTAGAGACAGAGTTTCGCCATGTTGGCCAGGCAGGTCTCCAACTCCTGACCTCAGATGATCCGCCTGACTAGGCCTTTGAAAGTGCTGGGATTACAGGCATGAGCCATCACGCCTTGCAACCACATGGTGGTACTTTCTTTTTGGTCTCTGCCATTTTACAATAGTGGGCCAGGTTCAATCCTAGCTTACGAATGAGTATTTTCTGGTTGATACCTGTGTGACCTTTACAATTTGTTGATTCTCTTCCCCTCCACAAACAATGTCTGGCTTCCCTTCTTAAATTTTCCCTTCTAAGCTGGGTGTCGTGGCTCACGCCTGTAATCCCAGCACTATGGGAGGCTGAGGCAGGCAGATCACGAGGCTGGCTAACAAGGTGAAACCCTGTCTCTACTAAAAATACAAAAAATTGCATGCTGTTGGCAAATAATATAAGAAAATAAATAAATAAATACAAAAAATTAGCCATACCTAATGGCACGCACCTGTAGTCCCAGCTACTTGGGAGGCTGCGGCAGGAGAATCACTTGAATCCAGGAGGCGAAGGTTGCAGTAAGCCAAGATCACACCACTGCACTCCAGCCTGGGTGACAGACTCTGTCTCAAAAAAAAAAAAAAATTTCTTTCTGGTCAGGCATGGTAACTCCTGCCTGTAATTCCAGCACTTTGGGAGGCCGAGTTGGGTGGATTACGAGGCCAGGAGTTCGAGACCAGCCTGGCCAGCCTAGCCAACATGGTGAAACCCCATCTCTACTAAAAAGAGAAAAATTAGCTGGGCGTGATAGCACTCAAGAGACTGAGGTAAGAGAATCACTTTAACCTGGGAGGTGGAGGTTGCTGTGAGCCAAGATCCCACCGTTGCGCTCCCGCCTGGGTGACACAGTAAGACTCCATCTCAAAGAAAAAAAAATCCTTTCTCTAAGCACTTGAAAGATTACCTTTGATAAAGTTGAAAAGCCAGAAATATCAGGTGTTTGGCCTGGCTAAAGTTGGGTAATAAGATATTTAAAAGTTTTTTTTTTTTTTTACAGCGCTATGGCTAAAACTCAGCTTAATTAAAAGTGGATATTCAAGCTATAGGTCTATTTAAAAAGGGTTTTATGTTCTTCTCTTGGATCTTTTTTCGAAAAAAAATTTTTCTCTTCTCAGTCAACTGAATTATTTTTCTTCATTTTGTCTTGCCACTTTTTTTGTTTGTTTGTTTTTTGAGACAGAGTCTTGCTGTGTTGCCAGGCTGGAGTGCAGTGGCACAGTCTCGGCTCACTGCAATCTCCACCTCCCGGGTTCAAGTGATCCTTCCACCTTAGCCTCCCAAGCAGCTGGGACTACAGGCGCTTGCCACCATGCCAGGCTAATTTTTGTATTCTTAGTAGAGACAGGGTTTCACCACATTAGCCAGGATGGTCTCAATCTCTTGACCTCGTGATCCGCCCAC